CACGACGGTCGATTGCAATACAGAGCAAAGTGGACTGGATACTCTCCGGAACACGATAAGACTTGGTACCCAGCCGAGAACTTCGATCATGCGCAAAATGCAGTTGACCAATTCCATCAACGATACCGCAGCAAGCCGTCAAGCAACAGTAGAGAATGCACTCGAATCCGAATGTGTGGCCCCGCAACTACGCAGAACAGACACCTACTACTGGCAACAACCTCAGATAAAACTGGAAACGATGCCGATAAGTTCGGCACTCCAGAACACACCGGAACGCGACGCGTTCAAACACATTACCCCGACCAGCCCGGGATACCGCACCCCGAGCCCAGAACAGATGACAAATCAGATGGAATACAACCCTGAGGACTGGATAAGTCTGAAAGACCTACCGATACACAAGACTCCCACTACCCAAAGGGAACACGCGAACCTGTCATAGACAGGTTGCTACGATAACGAGTGCCAAGTGCATCAAAGCGAGAAAGTAGGCTTGAGATACTGGCCTCGGGAGACGAACAAATGGCCACCCAAGACTTCACCTCTGGGATCACCAACGAGATCCCCGACACCAACGAGATCCCTGACACCAGAGCCAGTGTATCTGGTACAATATATCGAACCGACTCCGAGGACAGAATCGAGGAGGAGGGGGGCGAAAAGACAATGGGTAAAACCCAGGAAACCGAAGCAGGTTTCCTGGCAAAAAGAGATGGAAGAAGAGACGGAACCCGAGACCTCGAAGGAGGTCAAAATAAAGTGGTTAGCCGAGAAGGTTGAAACCAGCAGGTTGCTGGAATATCAGGCGGAAAAGAAAGAGGAGCTCAAGAAGGAGCTAGAAAGGTCGAGGTAGAATAATGCCAATTTGACGAAGGAGTTGCAAGGAGAAAGAAATATGAGAAAGGCTCTCCAGAACAACTGGAGAAAAGAAGAAAGGAAAGCAAGAAAAACTCTGGCCAGAGTGGGCAGGGTGAACATGGGAGCGAATAGGTACTATCCGCTACCTGAAGGAAGAAGATAGGGAATAGAAGACTGAAGCCCGATGGGACTCGGGCTGAGGGAGAGGAGAGCTAATGTCACAAACTGTGACTAAGCAAGGCAGATTTCACATAGCTTGGACTTCTGAGCTATAGGTATGTTGGGATTTCACATGACACACATTAGTGCGCCATAGGTTATTATGTTTACCTGTTCGTGACTCACAGTTGTGAGTCATACGATATTATGATTTTCACACATGACTCATACTTATGAATCATGGGTTTCACTCAGGTGACGCAAGTTGCACACCTGACTTGGTTATTATGTTTTGATTGGTTTCAGGCATGTTGCGCAGTGACTCATAGGAGTCGTCTGATGGATTTCGCATGACTCATGGTTATGAGTCACAAGGTTTACGTGACGAGAGGTAGGAGTCACACCAGATGAAGAGCTACTATATCAAGGGGTCACTAGAACCCTGAGTATGAGCTCTTCACACATTCTTCTTGTTTATTTCCTACCTTCAAGTTATTATCAATAAAACCTACCTTTACGCTCTTTAAGATTTATCTTAAGAAACCCAAGAATTGTCTTTCCTCCCATGAGGAGAGATTAAGTCCTAAGCAAGGACTAAGGAGAAGAATAAGGAGATAGGCGCGAACAGGATAGTAGTTGTAGGACTGGACTATCAGGATCGCGTAGGCACAGGCCTGAGAACTATCACCTTACATCAAGAGAAGTATTGTTACCTGTCGCTCGGTCCTACTCGGTAGGATTCCTAACAGGGTTGTAGGTGCCTATTAGAAATATTTCTACCAAGTCATAGTATGTTCAGAGCTCTCTAGCTCCTCCTATAGACTTCCACTCAATGTACAAGCAATTGTCTATTGATTATTATTATCTTAGAAACAATCCTAACTTTTCCTGAAATTCCTCCAAGAATATTTCCAATGTAAGGTAGAGCTATAGTGTCCCAAAGGTAGGGTAATCATATCTATGGTGACATGAAAACAGTCCTCATGGTAGGATAATATGACTTCCTAGAATAGGATGACCTTATCCAACCATCCTACCTATCCTTAGGTCAGCATAGGCAAAGTCACATTACTACTACTACTTAGGTATATTGAACCCTTAAGTACCTTATACTTATAGAGATACCCAAACCATCTGACATCTCCCAAGACATGCTCCAGCATGTCTGCCTAGTCTACCACTTAACCTTATGGTCACATGTATGAGCCTAGACCTAGGTTGCTATAGCTCATCATTATAGGGTCATTACATGCTCACATTTCTATGATACTTCTTACACCAGAAATTAGTCCCTGTTTCCAGGTGTCACCTGACTTAAGGTACCCCCGAATAGATTGTAACGCCTCATGAGCAAATCTTCAAGTTTGGCTCCCAGTGCTCACACAACGGTGGCAGGGGTCACGCAATCTATTACTCATATAGCCTGAGTAGTTGTGAAGCGCACAATGCTACATTTATCAATCACATCTTGTCTTTGGATAAGTTTTTTGATAGTCCTTAGAGTCATGCGATTTTAGTTCAAAACCGGAAACCTATGATACCCATGACTTTTTGGTGGGAGCTCTTAGGATCGTATCGTATTATAAACTATCAAACCCGCACTTTGCTCCTCCGACTTAGCAGGAAACCCGAACGGACCGACGGAAGGAATCCAGGGACGGGATCGGACACCTAGTTCCTGTAACTTAGCGTATGCTCTGTTCTATTGCGCCACGAGGGCCCAAGACGGGTGTGCAGCGGCCCATGATAAGTCCAAGGTATCATAGCTGTACCGTGCTCCCCCACTTACTACACTCAACCTCTATCCCCGGCTCTAGTCTAGTCCCATCCTAGGAGGAGTGAAGGACAAAGTATCATATCGGTATAAAGGCTAATTGGTGACGAAGGGTTAAGGTAGATTCGCTAGTGCCCGTCAGCACCCTGGTCCTCCCCAGTGCCAGCTATCCGGAGATAGGGATAACGATGCGCATTGTTGCTCTCCCCCGACTTTTGGCTTCCCTTGCTTGCAATTGTCACATTTGGGACCCTGTCATTTGGTCAAGGTGGTAACATGGATTCCGGTATTCGTTGTGTCGAGTATTGTGGTAGACGCGGTAAGCACTGTATCAGCCATGTTGTATTCAATAGCAAGATTCTTTACCATACCGGTAGATTATATCCACCCACCATGCCCGAGCGCTGGTTTTATAGTAAGCGTGCACAGTACAATACTATACAGCAGAGAGGAGCGCTCCTGGCGGGAGTACAGTACTGATAGGAGAAGCATGATGACACCCCATGCACAGGGGGGGGAGGACGGCGGTTAAACCTTGAACCCCACAGGGCTCGCGGCACGAACTGAAATCACCCGGCGCTGTATGATAAATTTACTATGACATATATAATACATTTATATCTTGGCGTGCCGACGTTTCGGTAGGGGTGGGTAAGACTGGTTTGTGGCATTTATCGAGATCATCATAACGGGAGAAATGAGCCACACGCGGGGGGGTTTCTTTTCTCCCTTCCAAACTGTATGATACGGTATGATGCCCCCCCCATTCCATGCACTTGCTACAGTGGATTCACCATACGCTAGTTAAATTTAACTTGAATGCAAATCGGGCAGGATTGTTTATCCGATGGACGGAGGTGTAGGATATGATAGACCTTGTGTGACATTTCGGGTTCGAAGGGAGGGAAGGGGGGAGGATTGAAGGCTCAAGTTGCATCTAATCTGCCCGTATGATATCATGCAGTATTGGTCATCATCATGATCATCGTGGTTTAGGGTACCGGTGGTTTGGTAGAGGTTTGGTGCTGAGGTTTATTAGTCTAACCAAGGGGGGTTCTACGGGTACGGTACGGTAGTCTACTCGGACTCTATCCCGGCCACACCGTCACTCAAGAATTAGTTGTGCCCCCCCGAGCTGCCTAGCCGCTATGAAATTATGATAGAAGCTGAGGGGGATATGCACCGTACAGTACGAGTGCCGTAATGTGCTCGCGTTGTGTCCGATCCTTCGTTCCCGCAATTCATTCATCCATTCATAGTCCATTCATAGTCTTACAGCGCTGCACCGTGCTGCAGCAGAGCACAGTACTGTACTCGCACAGCACCAGAGGCGCTGCCGGGCGTGTCTCCCGCATATGATACCCATTTCACGACAGTCGAGCGAAACCCGATTCTCGAGCACGGCCTCCATGATATCCACCTGCTTTGCTGAACTGTACGGTGGATGGTACCGTACTGTACCGCTGGCTAATTGAGACACGACAGTAGCGTGCATGCGCGCATTATAGCACCGTCACCCAGCTGTAGCGACAAGCTGAGCCCTACAAGTACTCGAGTCCGGTATGAGCATCACAACTGTTGGATAAGGTAAGGTATGATACTCGTAGATAATATGATACAATATACCGCGGGCTATGTCATGCGCACGTGATTCCCGCAAGTTAGCTTCTCAGGCGAGTTCTGGTCGGTTCAATACTCGGTACTCAAGTACGGTACAGTGCGAGTACTGTACTAGTACAGAGCCCTTTTCCGGGATGCTCTCGACTACAGACAGGTAGTTGCTCTGATTACGATATCTCGTCGTTTGAATTTGTCCCCAACCCCCGTTCTCTAAGGTGGGCACGATACCGGTAGGGTTACTGTACAGTACCGTGCGGCTGTCTCTGTTCCTGGGTCGGGTTCGTTTTATCGTGTATAAATAGAACTTTGGGTGACCTGTATCATGTCATACTTCATGTTTGGCGCTGCTGCCCTCGGTATGAAAGAATGGTTATGATGGGGCGAGTCTCACTTGCTGGGGCTTGGTTGGCTTTTTGGGAGTTAGTCGGTGCGAGTACTTCTACCCTCCCGCGGGCCTGGGTCCTCTTCTTCTCCTTCTTCCCCCCCCCCTTTCTTCCTTACTTTAACTGCCCTACGCTGCCCACTGGTCTTTGACGGCTCGATTATTGAGGCAAGGTATCATACAGCTAACCTACACTGACTCGGCTCAACTCGGCTCATCTCTGGTCAACAAAGGAAGATTTTCCTCCCCGTCGTTCTTCTCCCTCAACAAAGATACCTTATCTTGAGCTTTGCTACAGCATCCCCACCTCTCTCTCTCTCTACCACCACCACCGCCACCACCACCGCCACCTCAAAACAGATACCCAAAACACCGCACATCTCCACATTCCCACCCCACATCAACCAAACAGACAATGTCGACCCCCCCCTCAATCTCCCTGACCCCCGCAACCACCACCGCTACCACCCCCCCTCCTCCGCTCCCAGACGATACGGACTCGGACCTAGCGACACCCCCATCCACCCCTCCCCCTCCCCCCTTCTCCTCCACCTCCACCTCCACTTCCACCACCTCATCCTCCTCCACAACCACCGCATCGTCGCCAAACCCCGTCTTCGCCCCTCGCCCCCTCCGCCTCCCACAATTCCGACACCCGCGTCCGCTCCTCCTCCTTGACCAATTCCCGCTCCCGCTCCCGCGGTCCCCTAGTCCGCTCACTTCCCCCGCGCCGCCAGCACGCATCCCGTCATCCTCATCATCCTCATCGCCGAAGCTGGCACGTAGCTTTCTGGCTTCTTCCCCTTCGCCCCCGGCAGTTGGGGGTGGGGGCGAGTTGGGAAGGGATGTTCTCGAGGAGCTGTTCAAGATTATTAGGAGCGTGCCCGGTAGTCCGCCCGCTGGATCCGGAGCCGGGGCTGGGGGGTTGCAAGTTCACCGGAGGCAGGGGAGTGCGGGGGGGCGGGGAAGTCCGGCAGCGACGGGATCAGGGGGGAGGGACTGTGGGTTTCGTAAGTTTACTCTGTAGCCCTTCGATCGATTTGTGTGAGCTGTTTGGTTGGGGCTAATTGAAATGGAATGGAATGGGTCTGTAGCATCCTCCCCCGTCTCGAGAACCACCATGCGCAACCCGATCATTTTTAATTCCCAATTCGATGGGGAGTCGGCTTGATCACTTGCCCCAATGGTCGGCGTGCCCCACTCCGTCGGTCGATGTATTTTTGAACAGTTGGTTAGCTATTGGAGAAAACGGGTTGGATATTCAGGGCTATCTTTCCCCATTCTTATTTTCCCTCTCATGTCATTCATGGATCTGATTACCATTTTTCTCCTTTTCGTACAGCTTCTCACTTTTGTCTATGCGTGTTTGGTGGTTTTGGAGTTCCTTGCTTTCAGAAATCTCTGCTTGTCTACACTTTACCTGCCCCCCCTATCTACCCTCCTCAATCCCTTGTCATTGTTGCTTTTTGTCTGCTACAGTAGTAGAGATGGACGGGCGAATGAATGAATATCTTGTCTTCAATTTTCCCGCTTCTTATTTTCATATCATCCCCCCCCCCCTTCTTACCTTCGTGCGGATACCCCCCTTCTCGCTATCAATCACGCTATACCACCACGGAATGAGTATGCTTGTTTGTTGGAATGTAGAGAAAATTTACCGCCCGGTCCTTTTTTTCTTTTCTCGCTGCCGGATATATATAAAGTTACGGTCGTCATGGAGTGTCACTCTGAACCTGGAACTATGCGTTGGGGGATGCTGGGGAATACAAATTAATTCGACTCATCACACCTGTAAGCCTGGTTATACAGCTGGTGACTATTTAGGCGTGGGGAATGGGACGCGAGGTGCATGTGTGGACTCGTGGTGCTTGCGTTTGAATGGAAAGAGTTGATGGGAGCTGCCAGGGTGGTGGGTGCCAGACGGAAGGAGGGGGGGGGCACATTATCGATATCAGTGGAAACAAGATTGGGAGGGCAAGCTTGGCCTGAAGTCAACTACCATAGGTTAGATTGCGAACGGGCAATGGCCCAGTGAGCACTCACTCACCAAGCTTTAATAAGGCGGGAGCTCAGGTGCATTGTGATAGGTCCACCATTTTCCCGAGACATTGGGTCTTATCGAGGACCTCTTGTAGCCGGGGATATGACTTGGACCGCCCCAGCGTCTCGAACCCGCTGAACAGCTTGAACCAGGGTCCCGTGAAACCCCACAGAACGAATATTTGCGTGAAGATAGTCCCGTAAACGGATTGTCAATTGCAGTGCGCCCAGCCGAGTTCACCCACCAATTCACTTATTGCTCAACACGTTAGCTTCCGTTAAGCTTAGATGTGGCTCCGTATGCCAGCCATTGGCCTTGGAGAGATGCTCGCTGGGAGGGCTTGGGGTTGGACAAGGTGCCAAGGGCTCACAGACGCCCCCTTTGTTCGAGCGAAACTGATGCAATTTCGTAATGATGAATTCACCTCGGCCCCAGTTGCAAAAAGCAGCCGCTCGGGGGTTGGCTGGTTTAGATTTAGCAATTCCTCAGACAAAATGCAGGGTGCTTGATTTTAGGGCGGTCGATGGCAGCCTCGGTGAGTTGACAGTGGTAAGACCCGATGTCAATGACTCCCGGTCATCGCTCCGCCTTTCCTCGCGCCTAATGGATAACCCGCAATTGCATCATTGTATTTTGGCCGCTGGTGTCAGGCTTGGTCCCTCAGTTAACAGGGGTATTTACCCTCCTGCAATATGCAGGGGACTCCGACGTATGGTGTGCCACGCCCCAAGAAAGCTGAGGACTGCACGAGAACCCCATGAGTGCCGTATCACCAAGTCTGCGAACGAGCTAGAGGGCGACAGTTGGATTTAGAACCGCAAAGGGCTCTTATCTTGTACACAAAATGTTAGCCTCGTTCTATTAATCCTAAGGCCATGCATTGCCGTGCTCAGACACCGGTGTTCGCCTCCAAAAAATGGGGGGATCAGATGGTACGGCGACTGCCCTCGAACGAGCAAACCGCTGATTTGTTTTATGGCTGGTGTTTGTGAGCATAGGGCAAGCGACATGAAGACCTTGCCCTTTCATGGCCCCAGCTTCATCATCACGTAAAACATTGAAGGGAATGCAGGGAGGTGCCCGATAAGAAAGCAATTTGAACTCACCCGAGAGCCCTGGTGCCGGGGCCAGACTCGCCAATAGATGGCTCTCGATTGCCATCATATAATATCTCGTCAGTTTCTATTACAACTGGATTGCCCGGTCGAGAAGGTAGATGTTGTACCGGCAAAGCTGTTGTCTTCCGATGCGTTTTTGTTTGCAGATTGAGGGGAAGTTTGTTGAGATCGCGGGGGTGCGTGATGTATGTATGTTCTGGTCTGGAGTTTCGACAAATATAGAGTTCCTAGCTGGCGGTGGTGGGCCGGGGTCTGGCTGGCAGCGGGTGGTTGGATGGAAGTGGAATTGAGTTGGTGGGGGATCAGGAACGCTGCTGCCCCTTTCAATCTTGGCAAGGGCGCAGGGTGTGGAGATGAATTCATGTGGCACGCTGCGGAGTATGATACCATAGTTTGAAAACCGCCTTACCATGGTCAACTACCGATACTTTGGCGGGGGGGGGGGGTTCTCGACTGGGTACTCGTACCCGTACGAGTACAGTACAGTATAGCACAGAACAGTCCCGACAGTCCGACGCCCAATTCAGTCCCATAAGGAACGATATCATACAATGTAATACAGTCTCGTAATTCACCATCACCCGCCAGTGCATGGCACACATGTTATATCCCCCAGTTCCACCACCACCACCACCACCACAAGTACGGTACCGTAGCACTCGAGTATACATCATACCAACTCTAATTCCCTAAGATGCATGAAGTTATGGACGGATGCTAGACTGCATCTGCATAACGGAGCTTTTTACCAACACTGAACTCGATCCGCGTGCCTGTTACAGTGTCACAGATTACCGTATTGACAGATAAGGCAGCCCAATGGACAGCAGGCCAAAGTCCTGCTGTGTGCTGTAACTCCACTAGCTGCTGTTAAATTGCTGCCTGACGATGCAGTGGGGAATGACGGTGCTAAATCCCTTTTCTTCTAGCCCTGCGAGGCTTCCCCGCCCTTCGGCTTGTCCCTTTACCCCCTCCATTGATCCTCTGTCATTTTTCCTTCGACACCCCCTTCTTCGCCTCACCTCACATCACCTCAGCCTTATTCACAGCTCCCTCACCACCACTCACCACTTCAGCGGGAGAGACTCCAAAGATAATAATAAGAAATAGATACTCCCCATCCGTAAGAAATATCCCTGACAAACCCCTCAATTGTTATTCTTTCTTTCTTTCCCCTTCTCCTGATCAATTCCCCCGTCTTTGCTCTCTTCTCCTATTTAAACCACTGCTCTTGCTCCGGAAGCTTGCTTATCCAAAAATCGTTCTCAGATTATCACAATCCTACATCATTTTGCAAGATGGCATCCCCGATTCTCGAAGCTTCACAAAAGCACCCTAAACCCCAAGATAGAACATTTGCCTACGGAACTGCTGGAGTAAGCTCTGACTGCCACCCGTGGAGCTCTTTTGGTGCAATTGCTTACTTGTTACTCCTTCCTCGTTGTAGTTCCGAATGAAAGCGTATGCCCTCTGCTGAATCATGTGCAGTCTGACCCGTTTTTAGCCACTAAGCGGTGCTGGGAATATAGGAATTTGCTTGATTCTATTGTTTTCCGTGTTGGTCTTCTCGCTGCTCTCCGTTCACAAAAGCTGAATGGAAAGACCATTGGTGTTATGATCACTGCCTCTCACAATGTTCCTGAGGACAATGGAGTAAAACTTGTTGACCCTATGGTGGGTCACAGCCACCTGGTATCTGATTTATTGCGTAACTGATATGCATTTTACTAGGGTGAAATGCTTGAAGCCTCATGGGAAGCCCATGCCACAAGTCTAGCAAATGCTCCGAGCGAAGAAGAGCTCATGGCTCGCCACGAGTACTTGATCTCTTCTCTGAAGATCAATACCTCCACCCCAGCTCACGTTATTCTCGCCAAAGATACTCGTGAGTCCGGACCTGCTCTTGTTGCCGCCCTGACCGATGCCCTCACTTCCGTTGGTGCCAAATACGATGACTATGGGACCCTAACAACGCCCCAATTACATTACCTTGTCCGCTGTTTGAATACCCAACACCCCCCGCATACCGAGCCATACGGAGAGCCGACGGAGGAGGGATACTACAAGAAGATTGGAAGTGCCTATACAAAGTTGCTGCAAGGCAAACCCAGGCCTGGGCCAATTACCGTAGACTGCGCAAATGGGGTTGGTGCACCAAAACTCAGGGCGCTCGCTGAGTACATTGGAAAGGAGATCTTCGATGTCAAGATTGTCAATGATCTTGTTGACCAGCCCTCAAAGCTGAATTATCAGGTCAGTCTGTCTAATTACCTGTCGGCTGTAGCAGTAAACGTACTTACATCAAATTAGTGCGGCGCCGACTTCGTAAAAACTCAGCAACGACTCCCGCCTGCCTCTCAGGCCTCTCCCCTGGCTCGGTGTGCATCACTTGATGGTGATGCCGACAGGTTAATATACTACTTCTCCGATTCAGACGGCATTTTCCGTCTGCTCGACGGAGACAAAATTGCCACTCTGGTAGCTTCGTTTATTACCGACCTTGTAAAATCAGCCGGTATTTTGGACCTCAGGGTTGGCGTTGTTCAGACCGCCTATGCCAACGGTTCCTCGACGGCCTATATTACCAAGACTCTCGGTTTGCCGGTTATTTGCACACCCACCGGTGTTAAGCATCTTCATCATGCAGCCACTAAATTTGACTGCGGTGTTTACTTCGAGGCTAACGGACATGGGACGGTGGTTTTCTCCCACGCAGCTCACACAACCATTGCTTCGCACTCGCCAGAGTCCCCTGCTCAAGCCAGTGCCTTGGAGAACCTCCAAGCCCTCAGAGCTTTAATTAACGAGGCTGTGGGAGATGCCTTGTCTGACCTCCTCCTCGTAGAGGTCATTCTGGCACACAAGCGCTGGGGCCCAAAGGAGTGGGACTCCACATACACTGACCTACCAAATCGCTTAGTCCGTGTTGAGGTGAAGGATAGAACTGTCTTCAAGACAACTGACGCCGAGCGAAAACTTGTGGAACCCGTGGGGGTCCAAGAGAAGATTGATTCTCTTGTCGGGAAGTACAAGCAAGGAAGGGCTTTCGCCAGAGCCTCTGGGACAGAGGATGCTGTAAGGGTGTATTCTGAAGCGGCGGAAAGGGGGGAAGCAGAGGAACTCGCGAGACTGGTCGCCGACGTTGTGGTACAGTTCTAAATGGAACATGGATGGACGAGCATAAAGGTGGAGGGGATGCCGTGCATTAAATTTTTTTTTTCTTTTTTGGGAAGCACGATGTTGACGATGCACCCTTCCTGCCATTATGCTACACGATTCCTGCTGTTTTTAGTATCACCACAAACACGACATTTGAGGAAGAAATGGGGTAGAGTAAAATCTACTCTCCTTGGTAAATATTGTGCCATCGCATGTAATTACGAGTTGGTGCCTCGGCACTCGAGTGACCAGGAATCCAGCGCCGGTATGTATGATAGCACACCGAGTGCGATCTTGTGGTTGAACTGCATCACGACCCCCTCCTTGGAAGAAAGGAGAAAAGACCCAGCGCCACACTAGACGATTTTCAACTACCGGCATCCACCACCGAAGACCCTCACCGGTGGACCCCATGATTCATCCGGCCTCCATCCATCCGCGCGTATCCACTGAACCCCGCCCCCTCCACAATACACCAAACATCCCCCCTCCTTCGGCCCTCGGCCCGACCGATGGCACACATTAGCCCACTCAGGCGCACTACGGTGCACACCGGTAAACTACTATCGTCCCCATCCACTCGTACCGTATCTCTCATACCGAGATCAGTTACCATCCCCCGTACAAGCGGAAGCCCGACTACCATTACCGATAGTCTAATGGGACCAGGCGCTATCATACTGTGTACAATTAGAGTTGCCCCCCTCCCCCCCTCCTTCCTCCTGTATGGTCTTCTGTTTTCTCTCTCCCGTCTTTGCCCCTGGTACGGCACGGTAGAGCAGGAGGGAATTCTCGACGATATGGCACACGGGTCCAATTGTTTCGGTTTCCACAGTACTATGCGGCACCGGTAAGTTAACTTTATAAATTTAATACTTCCCCGGCACCAACGGAACGGGCCGGCGGCTCAAAAAAACAAGCTTTTTTTTTCTTTTACCTCTGTCGAAACCTCCAGTTAAGGGATTTGTGTGACTACACCTTTTTTTTTTTGCAAGGGAAAGAGGGTTATTATCATCTTATTACTATCTGATCCAGCTTTTTCCGGGAATGGATGGTGGTGATGGTGGTGATGGTGGTGGGTCGGGTGAGTTTGGCGCTGCTGCTAGGATAGGTATCATACCGGTACGATTATCATATATAGCATATAGATATAGTCTAATGGGTTGGATATGATATGAGGATATGATAGTTCCGCTGTACTGGTACAGTATAGCAGCGAGAAGAAAGTGGTGGGACACTAACGTATTTCCCCCTGATGTGACACAAGACCGGGATATGACACCCAGGTCTCACCAGCACTTCCGGTCGAAAAGAAAAATTGAAATTGTGATAACTAACCCAAAAACAACCCAATTCATGCATGACCTGAAAGAAATGGTGATGCCGGAACAATTCGAAGAACCCCAAAAACAGAATGAAATAGTAGACCGGACATTAAGAGAAAAGATAAAAATTAATAAAAATTGAGTAATGTACAGGAGACTTCACACTTTAAAAGTGAAAGAAAGAACAAGAAAAGAGAAACTATTGCTGACAGGAGTGAAGTGACATATGCAAAGGATGATGAGGAAGGAGCTATGTATTTTTAGCCGGCTGTAGTACAGTTAATTTAAAGGAGTGGCCCACTGTTGGCCATGATAAATTCCACTCCACATTGCTTGGCAGCTCATCCACAGTTTCATGTTAGGTAGAATCAAGAAAAACAACTATTGAAGTATGACAAATCATGACTTCCTGTATTCTGGGTAGTGAGTGATGTGTAAAAGGGGTAGGAGGTGGCTTTTTGGGACTTTAAATAACTAGTTTCTTGATAAATATATGCTTCGATTTTGGAGTAGGTGTTATAGCTACCTGGGGCCAAGGGTGTGCAGTTGCCACACAGGGTTTTCTTTTGTCAGATGGGTTGGGTGTTATGTAGTATCGAGTGGTTGGTTCATGTAAGGGAACCTGATGGAAGAAAAGGGAACATATCATAGCTGCGTGCAACTAGTGGAGGATTACTGATTATGGGGTTTTCTTTGTCTATATAATAGGGTGTGCTCCTTATGAGTTTACTTTCTTTATACAATCTGGTAATCTCCTTTGGACACACTTACTTCCTTGCCCTGGGCCTGGATGCTTCTTTGCCATGGCTCCCTGCCACGGCCACCTGAACATGGAGACAGAATATGCACAGAACTGGGGTAGTACGTTCCTTGGTTGTTATGTGAAAGGTTTCCTTTGTATTGTGATTGGAATGTATTGCCACACCATAGAACTTGGTGGAACATGGAGGAAGCATTGCGGCTGTGCGCAACGCCAAGGGTTTTCTTTTGTATTAGTGATCAGGAAGGATTTTCTTATATATAAGGGGGTGTGCCCCCTTATATTTTATGTTCTTTACGCAATCTAATAATCTTCTTCAGACACCTGTGCCTAGGAATTACACTCTCTCCTGCTTCGCATCATCCTGAACCTCTGAACCCTGACCCTGAGCCCCTGACGCCCGAGCCTCGTACAACTCACTTTAGTTATACACCTGTTCGTAGATCTCGCCTCTGAACTCTTGCCTGTCTCTGCCGTCGTGTGCCTTGGGCTACCCAACCCTCAAACCCTGTCCATTATACTCCCTTAGAGGATTTTCTCTGGCTTCTGATGGTTATGATCATCTTTTTATATTGGCCTTTGTTTCGGCAAAACAGTGTTTTGGCTATCCTGAAGTTCTTGTCTTCTTGCAGGATTTCATGTTTGTTTCATTAGTATAGAGGAGTTGCATCCCTGGTTCTCTCGGGTCTCAGGTTGGGGCTGATTCGCCTAGGGTAAATCATCTCCACTATGTTGGCTAAGGACCGAGCTTCGGCTCCCCAGTTTTACATTTAGGTTCTGTCACCTGGTCGCTCATTGGCTACGCAATGTTTCTTGTCCACCTGTTTCCTGCAATACACTCCAGTTATCAGCAAAAATAAAAGCTTGTGTCCTGTGTATCCTATGCCTCAGACACACAGGATGCACAGGATGCAAAACTGCTAAGCAGGAGGCAAGACAGCAGCAACCAAATCTCAGGGCGCAATAGTCCTTAGCACCAAAACTTAGGATGCAATGGTCCATGGTGCCAGAACTCAGGATGCAGCCAGAATGCAAGCGAGCCTTGGTACCAGAACTGAGGACACAGCCAGAATACAAGCAAGCACTACCGTGATTTACAGGATGCAATACCAGAATTAGACCTTATAGCCTAGGTCATTTTATAAAGCCACTACCTAAAAGTCTTGGTGATGGCTTAGTAAGCAGCACAGTGGACCCAGAGTGACAACCATGGTACATGACCTGACTGTGAATGAATGTTATGATTCCTCAGTAAGTATGGTACGACTATCAAATACTGAGTGATTATGCCTTTCAAGACAGCGACACAAGTGAAGAAAGCGAAGACCAAGACAAGCTGCCATGAAATGACCAACACTGAAAAAGGCATGATAATTGCCTTCTTCTGGGTGTTCCAGCAGATTTCGGTTGTAGTGCAACTGGTTGGCCGGCCTTGGTCAACTGTGCGGAATTTCTTAGCCCAGGCCCTAGAAAGAGGAACAATAGACAATCTACCAAGCTCCGGTCATCCAAGAAAGCTGAGTGAGTGTGATTACTGAGCGATATTGCATGAAGCAAGGAAACACCAGGATTGGAGATGGCAAGAGTTGTACAACAAGTGCACTCCTCATATTTCACTTTATACAAGTAATCGAGTACTGCAGAAGGCAGGGGGATGCAAGTGGTTAGTGATAAAGAGGGCTAAACTGCGCCCAGAACATGCTGGAAAGAGATGGGAATGGGCGGTGGCTCAGCAAGATTGGACCAATAAGGACTTTGAAGTTATTAGCAGGAGCGACGAATGCTCAGTAGAGGGAGGACAGGATCCATGGCAGCAGTGGGTCATAAGACGCCGAGATGAGTAGTAGCTTCTGGAATGTATGCAACTAGTGGGAAAGGGAAAGGTGGTCACTCTGATGGTGTAGAACTGTTTTTAGGGTTACAATTGAGGTACCTTTGTGCTACTCATTATGCTATCAGTTGATCGGTAGGTCTATTTACAGCTTTTAGAGTCATGTTTAACACCTGTTTTGGAGTGAGTTGGTGACACTATTGGCGATCTAGTATTTTAGCTGGACAATTGCCCAATTCATACAGCTACTATTATTCAAGAATGGTGCGATGCCAACAATGTGCAATTAGAGGATCACCCCCCCTGTTCACCAGATCTCAACCCAATTGAGCATGTGTAGCTTGAGCTTAAACGATGCATACACAGCCAGTATCCTGATATCAGTAGCACTCAGGGTCGCCCACAGAAGATTAGGCAATGGCTAGCTAAGGTTCTTCCAGAGGTGTGGGAGACTATTACACCAGTGTTTTTTGAAAGGCTGTGGAGATCTATGCCTGACCAGGTTCAAGCTGTGGTTGATCCAAAGGGGTGGTATACACATTATTAGAACTTCTAGAATTTATATACTGTAACTATTATGTTTTGTTGCTCATTGTACCTGAGTGATTGCCATGAGATAGACCTATTGCGTAATAAGTGAAGTTACGTGATCACCAAGACTTTTGCGTAGTGGCTTTATATAGATTCTGATACATTTCAAATAAATAGTATTTCTCATCATATTCAAGTTGGTTCTATAATACATGGTATAGAAAGAAACCACCCCCCTCTTAACCCTTTACTATAAATCCAGCCCGAACCACTTATCTCACAGGTGATAACTTCACCAATATTGGCAGCGAAAGGGCTTCTGGGGTACCTTTAGAAAGCTGGTATCGAGCAGAATCAGGCTCCTGTGTATCGAATGCTGTGCCCAAAGGGCGATCGAGGAATCTGGAGTCAAAGTCAGCACTCTATGTGAACTCTGCTAGGGTAAAGACCAGTTTCATAACAGGCTGTACCTCTAACTATATTGGCACTGGATAGACGACTAAGATACTGTTGGAAAGCTGGTATGAAGTAAAACCAGGCGATTGAGCATCAGGCGCTCCATCCAAAGGATGCCTGGACAATCTGGCATCAAAACCAGTACTTGGGCAGAACTCCACCAGTGTAAAGACCACTGTCATAACAGGCACTAGCGCTACTAATATTGGTGCTGGGTAGATGTCCGAGGCACTATCAGAAAGCTGACGGCATGTTGGATCAGTCTCCTGAGTATCAGATGCTGTGTTTAAAG